AAAATTTACAAGATGCCCCCTTTCAGTAATGCCCAAAAGAACAAATACAACTATGTTATTATGATTCAAGTTGTTTTATTAAACTATTAAAACACAAATTTACATGAAACATTTCAATAAGTAGCCAGCACAACAGAAATGTTCTTAGGGTTGAAGTGGACCGCAGCAGCGTTGTCAGTGACCACAGTACGGAGAGTCAGAAATGCCCCTCATCTTCTCGCTGAAAAATACAAACAAATGTGTGTTGGGGGTTAATGGTGGGTGTGATGTGTCGTTCAGTCGATACCGCCTCTGTGATCCTTTCCTAATGTTTCCTAAAAACTATTACGAAGCTTCAGCAGTCTGACTTAGACAAATCACATCATAGATATTCTACAAAGTTAGTCTTCTTCTTTTTTCCTCTTTGTGTGATTCCACAGAAAGTGTTACCTTAGTTAGCTGCAGCAGAGGGACAATCTTTGGTGATCACATACTGTATATTATGTTTCTGGGACAAAATATCCACTTAAATTTTTTTACTCAGTGCTGAATCCTTATATTGTATATTAGCTTCAACTAAACCCTTTAGCATGAAACAAAGTGTATGTATTTGTCCCTGATTTCTTACACTTGGTCATCTGAGGAAGATATTGCTTCATGTAGAGCAGAATGATAACAACAACTCAATAATCACAAACCGATCCTTTAATATATAACATTTTCTAAAATGCTGTCAGAGGTATTCAAGTCCCCATACAACATGTCATACTAGCACTGTTGATTTTGACATTTTTGTGAGTGCACTGAGTCCCTACATTTCAGGTCTTGATGAACTGAGTCATCTTCCTGGAGGTACACTTGGAACGCACATTGGGCCAGAATGCGCCCGATGTTGACATCATGTTTCTAAAATTAAAAAAAGTATTTTAGTTGTCACAGTCAGTGTTTCAGATTGCCAACCATTATTTAAGTTTACAAATATATTTGCCATATTCAACAATAGAAAAGTCAAATATGCACTTCATGAATTATTCTTTACCTAATTTCTGCCTATGGAGGGAGAAGGGGAGAGAGATGGAGAGGGTAAGCGAGAAACAGAGTGAGCGAAAGGAAATGGGATTTAATCAATTTTGGTTCATTATGAAATTGTGGTGGGACAAATTAGACTATATGGGCCAGTAACTAATGGAAAACACTAATGGTTTGGGTAAAATATGACAATCTGAATGTTATTGAAGATTTTTGTTTTTATTATTTGTGTTGCATAAGAAAAGTAATTTAAATGTAGGCTTGTAAATGGTGACAAAACATGTGAGACTAGTGAGAAAAACTATGTAACGATGGAACCGGTGAACGACTATTTAAATTAGATGATGTTTTCATACTTGTCATCACAATATGATATTATATCATTTATATTTGGCCCAGGCTGTATTTGTGTTCACACTGCAAAAGGAAAGTATCCACATCAGTCCCACACCACCAAATGTATTTTTATTTCAACGGATCTCAGGTAGCATCAAGGTCTATTCAGACATAAACTTTGCACTGACCACTTGTGATTCCATCACTGAGGATGTTAATACCATTTCTTAATGAGGTTAATGTGATCTTATACTCACCTGGCAGTCATGAATCCTTTGGATTTCCTGCAGCACCTCTGCAGTCATGCCCATCCATGAGGCCTTCTGCCAGTAAAAAGCAAACAGTTGTGGTGTGTATCTGTGAAGCTTGCAGAAGAGTTGGTTGCATAGGTTCACATCCGTAATGCCATGGATCTTAGGAAAGGCTACAGACATAAAAAACACAAATATTTATCTAGATAGCACATATTTCATCAGTTACTTGGTAATAAATGGCAAATAAAAGAGGAACACGATTTTCACCTGTGACTCTGTCTGTAGAGCGGGCCATCTCTTCGAAAAGTTCTTCACTTGTGGATATCCCTGAAAAATATTTGCAGACAAAAGTCAAAGGTTGTCTGCATGAGCTTTAAAATCAAAATCTGGCTTCTCTCTCTCTCAAATATACACAAAGCCTTTGAAAAGTTAACAAAATAATGGCCATGTAAAGATATTCATGAATGTCAAATGTTGAGAAATTTGGTTTCTAAAAAACCTGTATCATTTTATTAGGTACACCTGGCTACAACTAATGCAGCCTGATCCAACACCACTGCAATAAATCCTTTTTTTTTTTAAAAACAAAAAACATTGTTATTCAGTTTTTGATCAGATGCTGCAATTTGTGCTGATGTTGAACTGTATGGCATTATACTGTAATGTGACTTTTATTTTGTCAATCCAATTTATATGAATGGGATTTAAGATTTTCATTGCCAACATGTACGCTGTATCTGTTGTGCAGATGACAATAAAACCTTTGAACCTTTGAGATACAACCTTATGTACACTGCATTACAGTTCAGACCACAGACTTTATCCTCCAACCTTACCAAAGTAACAGTTTCAACAAAAACTGAAGATTGCTCACTGTGGCAAAGGACATTGCCACCAGGGTGTGACTACAGCAGTCAGAGACAAAGTACTCCATATTCACCATTTTATTATGCTTTATTAAATCATAAACTCACAAAACGATCTGGAATCCAGCTTTTCAGCTCAGTCTTTCAAGTGCGTTCTCCGTCCCTCTGTAAGCTTCCCGAGTGTCTCTCCGCATGTTTCAGTCCTGTCTTTGTCCTCTATGTGTCTCTGTGAGGCAGCTCCCCCGCTGCCTCATAAACCTGAGGATCATCAGCTAACAGCTCTCACCTGCACTGACTGATCCTCAGGTACCGGTGACGGTGCTCTCCCAGCCCCCTCCTCCACACTCACCAATGAAGAAGTTAGATAAGGCAACTAGTCTCTGCAATTTAGGGCTTAAGGTAAAACCTGTTGCCCAAACAATAAATGGGCATGCTCGTCTTACCTTGAGTCTTTGACGTTTCAATTGTGCCTGTGAAGGAAAACTATTTCCAGTCCAATAAGTTAAAATGTATAACTCTTAAGACATATCACTAATAAAAATAAATATATATACTCTTCAAGATACATTCAGTATTATAAGTAAACATTTCTTAAGCTATTTATTGTGTATATTTACTCAATTTTTAATACTTGTACTTGAATAGTTAACACTTGCTGGATACTTGAATTGTATTGTATCAACCTTGTGCCTCTCAAAACGTTATAAATCTTTTTTTTCCTTCATCCCTCCTTATCCTTTAAGTATCTTGCTCTTTCTCTCCACTTCCTTTCCTTGTATTTGTCCCACATTTTGTCCTTAACAAATCTTTCATCCACACTTTTTTTAAACTGCCTGCTATTCTAACTGAACTGAAGGATTTGAAAATCTCTCACATTGGAGACATCTTTTTTTCTTTTTTTTTTTTTACCAAAAAGTGAAACCAGGCTCTATCCTCCTCCCCACCAGTCTTAATGCTCTTGTTAACATTGCATTCAGCCACAGAAACTTTGTGTTAAGCCACTAGGCTCCATTAGTCATAACGACGCCGGTATGTAACGCTGTAACTTTAGCTCCAGCTTACATTCTGCTAATGTCACTGCAAAGGCCAACAGATAATCAACCTGTGATAAAGGTTTTCACTCACCTGACCAGAAGGTTATAACCAGGACCAGCAGCAGATTTATTACTGTTGAAGATTTACATGAAATAGCTTTGGTTTCTGGCCTAATGTTGCATTACTACATTACGAAAGAGCAGCGTGCCAAACTTTCTCCATGGTTCTTAAATAAGAACTTAACAACCTGAAACAATAAACAATTTCTCTAACATGACATCTAGGCTTGGCTAAGTTTTTTATAGAATTTTCTGCGATTTTTATTTGTTTTACGCTGTAACCGTCTCACTTGCATCAGGGTAGCCATCTTGAATTTTCTGAAAACGTGAAGTCCGAGTCTGAACGTCTTCCGAAGATGACATCAGACGCTGCATCACTTCATTCACTCAGAAGTTTTAATTAAAACTGGATATTCACTCAGAAACTTTGATCCACTGCAAATTAAAACAGCATCAATAGTCAACGGAGCTCAGAAGTTTAGGTTGGGTTTATTTGATAGCTGGTTTTGATTGCTGTACCCATAACACTTATGAGTTCGTATGAGTACTGTTCGGGTTTACAGTGAAGAATGTGAGTTTTACAAACAAGTTTTACATAGCAATGTTAAGCTGTTTATATAATAATTTACACTATGAACTAAAGAAAAGTTAGTGTTGAAGTTTGTGAAAGTGAAACAAAAACCTTGAAGGCAACACAGTAGAGATAAGCCAGGGTTAGGGTCACCTGAGATAAGAATGAGCCTGGTTTGTGGTTATGTTGTTTGATTAAATCCTCTACTGTTAACATAATGTTTTATCAGGTTGTACATCATGTAGCATGTTGCTCAAAAACAGAATTGAGATTTTCAACAATGTATTTCTAATGTTGTAAGGTGAGCACAACATTTTCTTCAGAAATATTATCTCCAGTCATGCACAGTATTAAAAGATACTGGTACTATGAAAGAATGCCAACATTTTGCCATTTAATGAAAATATTATATTTTAAAACATGTAATGAGGGTAATTTATGTTGGAGTGTAGTTTGAGCTTTCATTTTCTGACTGAACCTGTACATATTAGAGAGCCAAAGCCTAATCCAGCAGGCACTGTGCCTGATGTTTCCCGTGAATACTGTCACATGCAGTGTAAAATATTAAGTTGACAGCCTAGCCAATTTGACTGAACACGACCTGAACCCGATTATTATAAAAAAGTCAAACCCAGCCCGACCAGTCAATGGGCTTTGATAACTTATCCACACTTTAATTTGGGTCGATAAATGTGCAGCATGCTTTACACTCAGTTGACCTTGATCAGACAGAGGACTAAGATCACACCGCAGTTTCTAATGAAAACCAATATTTCACTGATGTAACTCCTGTAACTTTGTGTCTGTGTCTGTCTCTGTTGTTTGTTTGTGTCCATATGTGTGCTCATTGTCTTTTCCTAGGCGACTGATGTGAGGCCAGCTACACAGAATGTGTCAATCAATTGACAACTCTTTGGCAATGGGGATCTAAAAGAGGTAAGTAAAGATGGATTTAATCACACTATTAATATCTTGTACCTCACCACATTAAAATTCAGTCATGCTACTTTCACAAAGATTTTATTTCATTCATACAAAATACACTTAACCTGCATTTCACTTTCTTTTTAGAAATCAGATAGAAAGACGAAACAAATTTGTGAGCTCTCCAGCAGCATGTACCAGAAGAGGTACTTAGCAGCTTGGACTAGTACAGTGAGCTTTACTAGCAGCTGTTATCAGCCTTGATGTGGGATTTATGCTTTCATTTTTAACAGAAAAATGTTACTCAGACCCATCCAACAAAAGTTTGCTCACTGCAGTTAATAGGTTGTCCTCATTTTTCTATTATGACAATATTTGACAGTATGACCATAACATCTGTTGCACATCCTTGACAGTAGATCGGTCAGATAGAGTGTTGGCTCAAGCCATGGGTCTGCTGTTAGGTCAAGCCAGACTTATGATGGATGAACTCCGAAAACATCCAATTTAAGTAGGGAATCTAAAGGAGATGGAAAGGAGATAGGCTCTAAAGATATGATTCATGCTTCTTTTGCAGTCAGCTGGTAATTTTGGTCCCCACCTCCTTAACACATCCCACAACTGACCTGTTCCCCTCTGTCTGTGTCTTGTGGGCTTCATAGGCAGGCACAAACACAGGATTACATATCTGAATAAAAGAGAGCAGCTTTTCAGCTTTGTACAGACTAGTAGCATGTACAGAGATAGAGAGAGCGAGACAAGAAGAAGCAGGTTAAAGGGATAGTCCACCAAAAAAGGAAAATTCACTCATTATCTACTCACCACTATGCCAATCGAGGGGTGGGTGTGTTTGAGGGGGTAAACAGTGTTGCAGCCAAATCCAATACAATTGAAGTAAATGGTGACCAATTCTTCAAATGTCAAAAAACCTATCAGAAATAAAACATAAAATGCCTCCATACAGATTCCTCTTTATGGTCCCACGCAAACATGGGGAAATTTGACCTCTGTATTCAACCCATCCGTGTGAACGGAGCACACACGGAACACAATCCACACAGTGACCACACACGGAACAGTGGGCAGCCATGAAGGCACCCGGGGAGCAATTGGAGGGTTCAGTGCCTTGCTCAAGGACACCTCGGCAGTGCCCAGGATGTGAACTAGCACCTCTCCAACTTCCGTCCATGCTGGACTTGAACCGGCCACCCTCCAGTTCCCAAGCCAAGTCGCTATGGACTGAGCTACTGCCTCCCCTGCTCCTGTGATGTCACTCTAGTGTCCTTAAGCCCTGAAATTCAAATTAGAGTTAAAACTGTGTCATTTACACCATGTTTTTAGCGTAAATGTCCTATGATATCCTCCTCTCGCCCAAGGGTGCGCTGTAGCATCGCTAGCTCCAGTAGCATCGCTACTTCTGGATGAATGGATTTTCATTTCTCTGTGAACTATCCCTTTAAGCCCACACTCTTCTCTTCTCTGTGTTGAATCATAACAGTCAGTGGGTGAAAAGACAGAAATAAATAATAAACACAGATTTTGTTGTAAATCTCTAGTTGGGGGTGGTCGTATGGATAGAATGATGACAGAAAAGGAAAGATAAGGATGGATGGCAAAGGAGTGGTTGATAGCTGAGTATTACTTAGGCTCCCACTCTCTGGAATTTCAGTGGCTATTTTGATTCTTTGTAAAATCTCTCAAGCTTGAATAAATCATGATGATTTTCTTCATTTCAAAATTAAAATTAACGAGAAATGTGTACGTCAAGGAATTAACTCTTCATAGCAGGTGGTTCTGCAGTTGGATTTGGCAGTAAATCTCTTCTCTTAAGCTGCTTTCAGACATACGCTGAACCACAGAAAACCTCCAGACATTCTCGGGGGATCTGTATTGGTGAATGCAGATATCCAAGTGAGAGCCTCCGGATAGTTTCTCCGGCTAGACCCTGAGTTAAAAGTCCACAGGATTCACTGTGAGCCAGTGGGTGTATTGATGACATGTCTAGCACGACAGAAGCAAAGATGAAAAGAAGAAAAGAATATTAATATCTATGGATGAAAAAAAGGTAACATTCATCTTGGGAATGGTGACAAAGATATCAAGAGAACCTTTTGTGATAAGGGCAGATGCCGTTGTCGATGAGCTATATATGAGCTCATGAGATCTCCACAGCAGAATCATTACGTCCTGCCTCTGCCTGCTGCTTTACTCCTTGCCTGAACACTTTTCTGAGAATTTCCCCCAATTCTGTGGACATCGTTCGGAGTTCATGTCTTAAAAATGGCTGAAATAGGAGCTCACCAAGCTAACTAATCCCCAATGTGAACAGAATTTTTTAAGGGAGTTTAGAAATCCACACAGTGCATCAGTATTTCTCAACCTTTGTTGGGCCAGCACCCCCTAACCTGATCCAAGTTCCATTTGTTAAACAAATGCAATGGTTGAAAATTTGACATTCAATTTAATTAGCTCTCGAAATTGATCAGGAGCAGCAGCCAATTAGAAATGCTGAATGTGATTTATTAATTATAGTGATTATTCCAATGGAAAACCAAAAGAGGAAAAAAGCACAAGGTCTGGTTTCTGGAACCAAATCAGAAAGACTAGAATTGACCTTGTGTGAGCTTTGAGCTTGGTGTTTCTCTGCCTGCCTCTTTATCGCGGGTTGCAGTGGAAGTTTATTCCAGCTGTAGTGCACCTGAAGACATCACGCCCAAGCAATTGTGGCACTTGTAATGCATGCTTAGGACCTGTGCGAATCCCTGTTTCATGAGGTATCTCTTCAGAAAAACGAGATGAAGCACTCTTGTCTTTTCCCAGTAATGATGGGAATATTTTACAACCAGAGTTGCAGAATGAATCATGGAAATTGTTGTCCCCCTGGATGTCAAGCTGGGGCTGCACCAGCCGTGACACAAAGTCATGATCTTTGCTGAAGTCAAACTAAACAGGTTGTTTTCACACTTCCTAACCTGATAAAAATGTGCCCACACAGACAAATACCTGGTCCTGTTGTCCATTTAGGAATATATGGAGGCCTTTAAGAAGAGAGCCTTGCGCACAGTGGGCCTCATTGTGTGATGTGTGTTCATTTAATTAGTTCTTAAGAAGTTTCTTGAGAAAACTCTACGTCAGATTCATGACGCATTCTTAAATTGCAGAATTGTTCAAACTCACACAGTTATCTAAGTTGAAGTTGAAAATTGGCAATGCAGTACTGTGTGTTTTAAATAATCTAAATAGTCAGGTCATCCTAATATCTTTAAACTCTAGGGGGTTTTAAGAAGAAATGTCTTCATATTGAAAGGCTAATGATTAAATCATTTTCAGATGACTTTTGAAAATTTTTATTGTGAGGGAGAATCGGTTAATTAGAGTTCAAAAATTTAGTTGCATTGATGGAAAAAGCACAAAACACTTAGTTCTTGATCCTGACACAGACTGTAGTCTCTGGTTAGATGATCTCAATGTTCTGATTGTGTGGTATGGGGACAGGAGCTCTGAGAGGTAAGATGGGTCCAAACCATTTAGCGCCATTTTAAAATCAATCCTCTGGCTGACAGGCAACCAGTGTAGAGAGGCAAGAATGGATGTAATCATGGAATGTGTTAGCTCTTTTTTGACCTAGTTAAAACTTGTTACTGCATCTTGAACCAGTTGGAGATGGGATAAAGAAAGATATGATGCTAAAATATAACTAATTGCCGTAATGAAGGCATGAGGATATAATGGATGGCTTTCTCCAAGTCGGAAGTATTGAGAAATGATTTTAGTTAGGAAATGACCAAGATGAGTGGAGAGATAGTCCTGTGATAGATTGTAAATTGGAATCCACACACCCTGATAGCAAGGGGGATCACTCCCATACCTGGAATACATAATAGAGTGATCATAATTCAAACCAGGCCATTTTAAGATTATTAAGGGTGTATAGGCCAGGGTATTTCTACTTCAATAAAAACAAATATTAGGTAACACAGGGTTTTCCATCCACAAGAATAATAATTAACAAGCCAGTGATAAAAACAAGCTGCTTGAAGGGTCTGGCTGCGGGCACCTTGGAGAAAAGAAAAATGCTCTAAAAGCCCAAATTTGGTGCCTCCAATGCCACTTCTAATTTAACTGTTCCTTTAAACAC